TTCCCATCATGGGGCCATCAACGTTAAAAAACCCAGCATTGGGCCCGCCGTTTTTTTTTAAGGGTTGGGGTGGGTTATTTGGTAAAATATATAATTTGCCGGGCCCCCCCCCCCCCCCCCCCCTTTTCCGACTGGGGTCGCAGAGTAGGAAACTGATAACTCACTTCTGCTAATATATAATAATACAGTGCAAGAAGTTTTTCGACCTACCCCTCGCAGTAAAGAACTTGGTTCACATCCCGCCCGACGCGTCCAAGCACTTTGAAGGCTGGACGGCCGTAGGTGACGCCTTTTCCTCCCAGGGCATCTGGGACCCCGAGGATATCGAGAGGCTGCGCAAGGAGAAGCCGACGGAGCTCAAGGAGGCCATCGAGATCCGAGACCCGTGCGGGAAGTATCCCCCAGGCGGACCGGACCTCAACGTCTTGGAGGAGCACCTCCCCGGCTACGTCGACTTCCTCAAGAAGTGGTTCGCGGCCTGCTTCAAGCAGTCCCTCGAGAACATGCGCCTCGTGTGTGAGATGCTCGGCATCGAGGACGTCGACTACATCGGGAAGACGTTCGAGCCCCGCCACATGTGCACACACTCGACCTGGAACTACTTCCTAGGCATGCCGCTCTCGCCGCTCACCAGCGGATCGGCGAACCGGCTAAACGAGCACACCGACTACGGCCAGTTTACCATGCTCTTCCAGGACATGGAGGGTGGTCTCGAGATCCACGACTACGAGGCCAACATCTACCGGCCCGTGCCTCCCATAAAAGGCGCCATGATCGTGCAGGTGGGCGACCTGCTCGAGAAGCAGACCAACGGCAGGTGGAGAAGCGCTCTCCACCGCGTCACCGCACCGAGCCGGTACATGTACGGCGGAGAAGGGAGCCCGGCAGCAGAGGACGCGCTAGTCAGGCGCCACTCGCTCGTCTTCTTCGGCCATCTGAACCTTGACCGTATCATCGAGCCTCTGCCGGGCTGCGAGAAGCAAGGCAAGTTTAACACGTTCGAGTGGAAGAATCGTGTAACGGCCAGGGAGTGGATGGCCCGCCGCGTCGAGCTGGAGTATGAACGCAAGAACATGTAGGACGCGGCCGACCGTGTGCGTCTAATCGCAAGGGTCATGTTTGAGGTGCATAGACTCGATAGTTCCTAAGAGATATGACGATGTAATCTAGCATCTACAAAGTAAAGGTACAATGATTGGAGCATTGATTAGGTAGGTATCTTTCCATGTGATGTAAAAACTCAATGATCTTTAATATTCACCAACTAAATTTAAGCGGTCGGTCAGGGGTACCTAGTCCACCATCTGTCAGTAGATCACAGCTACATGTAGACAAGCCAGCCCACCGGTCAGGGACAAGGAGAAGGAGAAAGGGGAAAGTCAGGCCAATGAAGGGATATTTCCCACACCGAGTGCCCGCATAGATTGCCCGCATACCGGGCCGTGTCAGTTCTTTAGATCCCTAACGGCTTGAACGAGGAGGTTGCTTTCTTGTCGAAAGATGGTTCAAGGTAGATTGTATGGTTTGAACTGGTAAACCCGTTGAAGGTCGTATTGCATACGGCCGAGTAAGCTACCGCATCACCGTTAGCTTCTATAACATCGAGCCCGTGCAGGAGCCGAAGACTTTACCCCCCATATCCTTGAAGACGAGCCAATCCCCGATTTCAACCTTTCGATCGAGTACGCACTTTCTATTGATGCAGTCGTTGGAGTCGCAGCTTCGCCCCCAGATGGAGCACTCAAAGCCCGAGGACGTCTTGCGGGTGTCTTGCTCTTGCCCGTGCCATGTACCCTTGTGGATTATGGCGATTGGATAATAGTCCGTGTTAACGATGAAGTGCATCATAAAGCTGCTGTATATGCCGTCGTTGATGTAAACTCGCATGGGTGCCTCCCGGCCAATTGCCGTGGCATTCTTCCTCTGCCCGATGACCTTAGCGGCCAGGTAGAAGGGGCTGCTTGAAAATAGGGTACCCGGTTCGGCTATGATGCGTAGACCCCGATTTCCTTCTCCACGGAAGCATGCTTCAACGGCGGGTCGCACAGCCGCTGCGATCTTGGGAAAGGTGACATCCGTGTAACCGCCACCAATATCGAGGATGGTCGGGTTCAGGCCTAGCTCTCGGGCCATGGTAAAGGCTTCTGCCGCTTCCCCGATGCCACGAACATATGCCGCCGGGTCGAGGGCTACACTCGGAGCTAGAGAGCAGGAGAGATAGTTGTTAGCTAGCACATACCTTAGGTACATATATCACATCGCATCGTCGCATCACATCATACATATCGACTAGTCAGTTATTACAAAAACATTCAACCTACCTGCATGGAAGCTAACACCTGCAAATGCTAGCCCGAGCTCCTTGGCGAGGCGAATAAGTCTCAGGAAGTCGTGGCGAGAAGCACCAAACTTAGTGCCTAAAGGGTCGGCGTCGGTAGGGTCGTCGGCAAAGATGCGGAGGACCACGTTCGCTTCGGGATAGTGGTCCTTAAGCTTGCGAAGCTCACATTCGTTATCGAAGGTGATGACGGACACACCGAGGTTACGGCACAGACCTAGGGACGCGAAAGGCTTGCATGGGTGAGTGAAAATGATTCGTTCCGCGCAGATGCCCATGGACAGGATCAGCTCAATCTCCTCGATCGACGCGCAGTCGAACCCGGCGCCGCAGGAGGCCAGGGTCTGGATTAACCGTCCATCGTTGCTACTTTTCACGGCTATTTGTAGTTGAGTTCAGCTTAGTTCCCCCTATTTTCGAGTCGTGTGGCATGGGAACTTGATCATGAGAGGCAGATATGCTGTAAAGCCTCGTACGTACCGAAGAAGGGTGTAACATCGGGAAGAGCTTCTATCCACACAGTCCACTTCCGGACAACATCACCCAGGTCAGCGACGTAGAACGAGTCCTCTGACGCCGAAAGCACATTTCCTGGCGTGTTCGGGCTTTCGACGACCTTGACGTGGTTTTCAAACGCTTCCCTTACGGTCACGGTTACATTGACGGCCATTGCTGCGATTCGGGATGTGTACCTATAGGTAATAGAACTTTAAAGCTAATGATGTCTTAATGAAATCAATGAGAAGAGGCTGTGGAGATAATATTCAAGCCTACATATATACCTAATTTAATATATAGCATTTGTATGCAACCAACCATATATGAGTGTCAAAAGCTGACGAGCGTCGTAACAGGAGTGCTCGAAAATACAACCACATATTATTAAAGCGGCTCCCAGGAGAGATACTCTTTACTTCACTGCAAGATAAGATTGAATTCCGTATGTTATTTATTATTTATGGATGTTACGTATGAACGCACTATGCAGTGATCTAGTTCTGCGTCCGAGCAATATTAAAGAAGGTAGGGGAAACAGTCAAACCCATCCGAGATAACCTGCTTATAACGATAACGACGAGGAGGGAGCATCGGGATAAACAAAACACTATCTCACTCCTAATACGCATACCCATGTCACATTCAGACCACCACTACCCCATGTTGCCTCCTTCTCGTACCCGTGCCCATGGACGTGCTGAAGGTCCGTAGAGGTGGCCGTTGATCTCGTCCTGAAGTTGAATCTTTCCACCCTTGACTTCACGAATCTTACTGGTCCCTGCATGCAATACCTGTTCAAAGGCCTGCTGGAAGTCGGCCTTGATATCCTTGATATTCTCGATGCCGACAGATAGCCTAATCATGTCCTCTGTAACCCCGACCTCGGCCCGATCATGAGGGCTGAAGTGCTCATGCGTGGTCGAAGCTGGGTGCACGACGAGGGTCTTGGCATCGCCGAGACTTTCAAGATACAGATAGATTAGACTGCTAGGAAATCAAGGCAGGGAGATGCTATCTCTTTTGGTTGGTTGGGGGGGCGGGGAAGATGGAAGGGGGCAAAGGTACAAACATACTTTGTAGTGATCATAATCATCTTAAAGGCATCACATAATCGAGCACTTGCTTCGAATCCGCCCTTGAGACCGAAGCAGATGACGGAGCCGAACCCTCGTTTGAAGTACCTGAGCGCCTCCCGGTGATCCCGATGATCTTGGTGGCCGACGTAGTTAACCCAGGCGACCAAGGGTTGCTCCCGCAGCCAGTCGGCAATTTCTGCCGTATTCTGCGCGTGACGCTCGCAGCGTACGGCGAGAGACTCGAGACCAATCAGCAGCTGCTGGGCCGCGGCGGCGCTGAGAGTGCTTCCCGTGTCGCGGAGGATCTCGAACTGGCAGCGGATGGCGAAGGACCGGTGTGAGAAGCGCTCCCAGAGCCTCGTACGGGGGTCGTGGAACTGGGGAAATCGATCTGCGTGACTACCCCAGTCAAAGGCGCCGCTGTCGACGATGATACCACCTACTGTAGTACCGTGCCCTCCGATCCATTTGGTAGCTGAGTGAACGAGGATGTCCACCCCGTGGTCGATGGGACGACAGAAGTATCCAGCACAGCCAAATGTATTGTCGCACTGAAAAATGGGGGGGAAAGGGGGTAGGATGTTAATAGTTCTCATTCTTCACATGCGATTCCAGTGGGCTCAAGCTTATAGGGGTACTGGAGTACTTACAATCAACGGAACTCCCTTGGCGTGGCAAACAAGCGAAAGCGCCTCAAAATCCAAAATCACGTTGCCAGGGTTGCTGATGCTCTCGACCCAGACGAACTTGGTTTTGTCGTCGATAGCAGCCGCAAAGTCTACAGGGTCTCGAGACTTGACGAAGCGGCACTCGATACCCATCTGCGTAGCCAGGGTGCTGAACTGGTGGAACGTGCCGGCGTGGACATGAAATGACGAGACGAAGTTGTCGCCGGCGCCGGCGAGAGCCAGTATGGTCATGGCCACGGCTGCCGAACCGGATGCGACAGCACATGCCGCCACACCACCTTCCAACTCGGCCAAGCGGTTTTGGAGGGTATTGACTGTGGGCTAGAGAGATAAAGAGTATAGGTAGTTAGTACGGTATAGTATAGTGCAGCATAAAGCAGCGCTGGAGCAGGGGGAAGTGCAGGTGCTAGCAGAAAAGAAGGGAGGAGGAGGAGGAGACATGCATTAGTAAAACGGCTGTAGATGTTCCCGAACTGTGTTAGGTTTAAAAGACGAGCACCGTGTGATATGCTGTTGAATTCAAAGGCCTATGAAAACAGATGAAGCATAAGTCACTGGCATGAATTGGCCCCCTGGCGTTCGGGGTTTCGGGGTGGTTGCTTTATCTTACTGCCGAGCTGTACACAGGCACAGCGCAACTACCCAAGATATCCGGGAACCGGCTTGAAAAGGAAGTGTTTAGTTTCGTATTTAAATATTTTCCATAGGTGCTAGGGGAGCCTACCCGGCATGAAGCAGTTGAGTCTCGAACTCCCTCGGAGGCTCCTGGTCTGGGTTGTGGTCGAACGTGTGACTGATGTCTGTAACGGCCCCCATCTTTAGAACGGAAGAAGAATCGAGCGTATGGGCGAAGGGGTTGGTGAAGCTTCAAATCGGCAGGTCATACCCTCCTTCTTTTATGTATTACATGGTAGTTACTTAAAGTACACACTTAGGAAGATATAGGGAGGTATGTATCCCTGTGGCATAGCCGATACGTATTTATTGGGACGTTAAAGGTAGTATTGAAAAAAAATGCTAATGATCTAATTAATCATATTAAGATGGTGAAAACAAGTAATGTAAAATTTCGAGACGCATAGGAGCTGGGACTGTACGTTGAAGGGATTTTGAAATGGGAGGTAGGGACCAAAAGGGGATAGGGGCAACTGTACGTTATATTGGAGGGCATCCCTTCGGCTTGCCGCAATGGCCCAGATTTACTATACGGCAGCCGGCTAGATACCCTTACCTCATCCTTAACACTTCTAGCACCCCTAACTTATCCCAGCAAGCTCAGACTACGGTTTTCGAGATTTCATACGAAACGCGATCTAAGGCACGATGGTCGATGGTATGTATGCACGAGTAGGTATAGTCAACCCCCCCTAATGTACACTCCTAAATAACTTGACGATCATATACCTACAGGGTGTAATTGAAAGCAAAGTGCATTATCACGAGATCCGTACTACACCGGTGCCCGAGTATCCTTGGTGGCCCAGCTTGGGAAACTTGTGCAATCTGTTGATTTCTCGGTGGGTGTATTCACTCGACAAGACTTGATCATCCTAGAAACCTCTCTCTCCACTCGGCTCCGCCAGCCTCGCCGAGATAACCACCACATATTATCTTTGTATACTTGTGACCTGCCTATACTACTTTCCTAGGTACCAGTCATCGAGATGGGGATGGACTTGAATAACTTAGATGTTATCGTCATTGGTGCAGGTTTCTCAGGCATCCTCGCCGTGTACAAGTGAGTAACATGCAGTATAGTATTGCAACTTGATGAGTGAACACGGAAATAGCGACTTATTTGTCCATACAGGTTGCGTCGGCTAGGGTTTCGAGTCTGCGGATTCGAGCGCCAGGGAGGGCTCGGTGGCGTCTGGCGTGAGAATGCCTATCCTGGGGCAGCCGTCGACAGTCCTTTCCCGTTCTACCAGTTCTATGATGCAGACCTTCTCCGTGACTGGCGATGGGAAGAGCAATTCCCCACTCGCGCAGAGATGATGAGGTATTTTGAGCAAGTCGATACCAAATGGGGCATCTCTGCCAGCTTCGAGTTCGGTGCTTCGGTTTCCGGGGCCGAGTACTCGGAAGCCACGTGGAGATGGGTTGTATCGCTGGAAGATGGCAGACGAGCGAGTGCGCAGTGGCTCATTCCAGCTGTAGGCTTCTCATCGGTGCTCAACATCCCTCGGATACCGGGTATAGATCGGTTTAGCGGACCCGTCTATCATACGGCAAGATGGCCTCGCGACGCCATGGACATGCGCGGCAAGAAAGTGGCCGTCATTGGTACCGGGCCCAGCGGCGTCCAGGTCATCCAGTCCGTCGGTAAAGTTGCCAAGTCCATGACAATTTACCAGCGGACTCCATGTCTTACTCTACCTAAATATAGCAATAGCCCAGACAGGACGGCCGAGACGCTGGGGATGGGACCTGACGGCTACCGAGAAGCTCTGCGGCTCGGTCTTCAGTCTCCCAACGGTTTTGACTATGTGTGCCGAGACCAGAACACGCTAATGGTTCCATCCGAGGAGCGAGATCACTTCTACCGGAAACGGTATCTCGAGGGAGGCTGGGCCTTTTGGATGGCGGGCTTTCGGGATTTGTGCCGGGACCCCCGGGCCAATCGGGACGCGTACGCCTTTTGGGCCGAGCAGACGCGGGCCAGGATCAGCTGCACAACCAAGCGGGAGCTGCTGATACCCGAAGTGCCGGCCCTCCCCTTCGGCGTCAAGCGGCCATGCCTTGAAGAGGATCTCTACGAGGTCATGGATCAGCCACAGCTGGACATTATTGACATTAGCGAGAAGCCCATCGAGATCATCACCGAGACGGGCATCTGCGCGCACGGAAAGACGATCGAATTCGACGCGATCATTTTAGCTACGGGGTTCGGCGACGAGGCCAGCGGGCTCAAGAGCCTTAATATCCGAGGTCGAAATGGCACCCCCCTCGTAGAAGCTTGGTCCGGAGGTGTCCAGTCGCATCTCGGGATCGCCATCCACCAATTCCCCAATATGTTCTTCCTCTACGGGCCCCAGTGTCCTACACTGCTAGTCAACTCTCCTGCAGTCATAACCGTCCAGGTCGAGTGGCTCTGCAGAGTCCTATCTAGCAGCCAACGGGGGGCTCGTGTCTCTCAGCTGGAAGCGACTGGCAAGTCCCACGATGTGTGGCGGCGGAAGATGGGAGAACTCTGGATGAATTCGCTATACCATACACATCCTCGTAATGCGAGCAAACAGGAACAAACTTGGTAAGTGGCAGCAGGGCTTTCTGCCTAACTCGTCTCCTCTCGCGTCTATTTGGCTGCTAAAGTAACAACTGGGTTAGGATTGGAGGATTGTTGCTATATCGCACCGAGCTGGAACGCTGTCTGGCTAACGGGCTAGAAGGATTTCAAGTCACATATGCTTCTGAAGAACTTACAGGTAGGTAGGTAGGCTAGTACCTAGTTTAACGTCTTATAATATTTTGGTCTATTTCGAATATAAAAACTCACAAGTATCAAGTAATTTATACATAAGAGGTAGCCATCCTGGAATTATACGACTAAAGGCTTGCTTGTATTTTCACTTACTATACCAAGTTTACTATTGATTCGACTGGCTCTCCGGTCCGACCTCTCCCTTAGCGATCTTCTCGCAAAGTATCTTGAGAGCATGGCCGACAAACTCAAAGTCACTGACTTCTAAGTATATCTGTGCGCAAATTCTAGCCCATATCCAGCCCTTGTAATCAATAAACGGTAGCCACGTTCTGTAGGTGTCGGATAGACATTTAGTCAAGTACCGCACCGCCGGCCCAACCTGTTCTTCGGCTAGAAGGGCATGGGTCTGCGAAATTTTGACCGAGGCAGCTGAATGAGAATCCCCAGTAGCAATCCTCAGGGGCAGTCGAACTGTTGCAATGCCGCAGTTCCTCATCTGACTGTGAGCTCCGAGTGCTATATCAGGTTCCTCTAGCACCTCGGTCTCTAGGATACTGGCGACTCTGTCTCCTCCTTCTTTGGCGAGCCAACGCACATACTCGTAGATGGCGACCTCGCCACCGCATATGTCCTGCCTGAAGCGGAGCGCGGTCGGTATGCACATGTGCGGCATGTTGTCACTCGTGGCCGTGTAGGCGAACAGGGTCTCAAACGGAGATGTCGCCGGGTCTGCGCTGACCATTTGGGACCACAAAGGCAGGGTAGACTGACCCCCTCTGGGAATGAAGCCGAAAGACGTCGGGATCGTGGAGCGGAACAAGTGCTGGTTCCGCTGTGCTACATACAAAAAAGCACACGGTCGAGGAACAAATAGCCACCTGGTAGCAGCGAAAAGAAATAGCAGTTAGTTAGCACACGCAAGGTTAAGAACAAGAGCTACAAATGAATCGACGTGGATAGACAATTCACATGCATACTTGTGGCACTCGGCAGTGAAAAAATCTGGCTGCAGCTCATCGAGATTGACCTCGAACTGGCCGACGCTGTGAGCTCCGTCGACCAAGGTCATGACGCCTTCCCTCTGACACACGCGCACCAGCTCCTCGAAGGGCATCCGCACGGCTGGGATGCTAACCACCGTCTCCAGAACGGCTAGCCGAGGACGTAGTCCCTCAGCTTTGATCTGGGCGATGGCAGCCTCGAAGCGGGACACGATGTCCTGATGCGTGGTGGGAAACTCGAATTCGACCTTGCGCGCCTGCAGGGGCCGCGTCTCGGCCAGAGAAGTAATGGCATTGTCGATGGCACCATAGGTGGTCGACAGGGTCAGGACGACGTCCCCCGCCTCAAAGGGGTAGTTATAGAGAACTGTGAAGATGCCCGTGGTGGCGTTGGAGATGAGGACGCACTCGGAGACGGCAGCGTGAACCAACTGGGCGATACCGAGGCGTGCCTCCTGCAGAACAGGGCCCTGCGAGAATCCCGAGAACAAGTCGGGTTGAGCCTCTAGCTGGGCCCAGAGGTCTTTCAGTTTGTCACTGACAGCCTTGGGCCACGATCCACAAGATGCTGAGAAATTAAGTGCCTGGTCAGCAGCCACGGTTCATGGCTAGGTATTCTGTAGCGAGTATGATTTGATTGGGATGCCAAGTGGGTATATACATGCAGAAGACTTGGGTATACCGAGCCACTTACTTGCATTGAGGTTGATGTATCCTGGATCCATGCAGAAAGCCTCCAACATAGGCTTCCCGAACGGGATGCGTTGGCCGTACTGATCCTGAAAGGTTCGTCTCGCCGCCATGTGTGCAAGACGAATGGAACTGGACAGGTGGTCGACAGGTAATTCAAGTAAATATCGACGAAGGATTCAAAGTCTAGTGGAGAAACAAGTAATTCATAGTCTAGGGGGGACGCTGCATTTTAGGAACAGAGATCCACCGGCGTAACGAGATCCAAGGACCAATATAATATGTACATGTGTGTATGTGTGATGGCTACCTACTGCATGTTCCAATATACTACTATGTTCGTCACTATGTCGTGAGAATGCGCGCATCCCGATTATTACGTCTCCTTGCTGTGTTGTCATACTCGTATGCATATAGACCTACATAAGTAAATAGATACCAAGGTAGTAATCAATTTGCCGCCGGTCGGGTAGGGGCAATAATAGACTTAAGAAGCCAACACCCTCTCGCGACTAATAAGTCATAGAAGCGGTTTCTAAATAGTAGACCATACAGTATACTATACCAGACAGCAGAAACACTTGAAGTTGAATTCTTCGCACAGCTAATAATCATGGCCTTGAACAATTCTACTCGCTGCAGCGTCTCCGATAATGATATCAAGTTCTACCAAGAAAAGGGATATCTTCGTTTATCTCTACAGGAACACGGCTTGTTTCAAGACCTGACCGAGTTGCAGCAGTCAGTAGCTGACATTTTCCAATGGGGCCTAGACAAGGGGAAATGGCGGCACTACTACGAAACGACTGACGGGAAGCACATACTCTGGGGTACCGAGAAGATCATGGAGTATTCAACACTAATGCAGAATCTGATCGCGGGCGACCGAACCCTGTCACTTCTCGAGGCGCTGACGGGCCGAGACATGGTCGTCTTGAAGGATGAGATCGGGTGGAAGTTGCCGGGTGGGAAGGGCGCGGCGCCTCACCTCGATCGGCCCGCCTACTCTCAGTTCGCGCCCGAGTTTGTCGAGATGATGGTCGCCGTCGACGCCCACACGGGACAAAACGGGTGCTTAGAGTTCGTCCCGGGCTCTCACAACGAGGCCGTGCCCATCTCGGCGGACGGCCGCATCGAGCAGACTTGGCTCAAGGGCAGGGAGTTCGTTCCCATGCTTCTAGACGCCGGAGATATCCTCGTATTTAACGAGAGCATGGCGCATCGGCTGGCGCCCAACGCCTCCGATAAGAGACGCGCGGCGGTCTTTGGCACATACCACTTCGATCCGTCCCAGGCCTATCTGCGCGACGAATTATATGCGCATAGGCTTGTTCACAGTCCCCCGGAAAACGGTAAGGCGTTCAAGGATCCTTTTCCCGATGAGATAAGAACATTATTAAGCCAATGGCCTGGAGGCTGGAGCTGACATTGTGTGTAACCAACTAGCTTGGGCCGAAGCAGCCTCTGTATTGCCCGATCGTTAGACCCCCTACCGTCCCTCCGCTTTCTGTACCCTCCTTCATCTTACATATGGCAACCCCCACACGGGAAGTTGGTGGCGGCAACCACAGTACCTAGTTAGTTATGAGTCTAGGTCTCTATCACGGCGCCGATGGCCTGTGCCATGCATGGAACATTGGGTTTCATTTGAGTCCGTCAACGGGTTGTGGGGGGTAGGTATCGTTGGGATTTGCGGTCAGCGATGGACTACCTAGGTAGGTAACTAGTGGTGTACACGGGGAATGGAATGAGGCCCCTAACCATGTGAATTTGCTGTCGTTTTCAGATTGGCTTTGTCTTGACTGTTTTCAGCGAGATAATCCTCACTGTGGCTGATATATATCCCACCATTCTTTATTCTAGATCAACCACCAACAACAAATTAATTTTTCCTTCGGGTCACTTGAGCGTCGCCACACATAGAGAGACGAGGAAATAGAAAGAAAATAGCCGAAAAGAAACAAGACGAAGAAAAAAAGATAGAGACAAAGTTATGGAGTCACCCGCCTCCGAGTTCGAATTGAAACCGGCAGTGATTTCCGAGCGGCCTGAGGATTCAGGGAAACGGGTTGCCCCAGACCAGTTTGATGATCGATACCGTACTACAAAGAAGGAAATATATGCTTACTACTGGTGAGTTGGCAGGCTTCACATCGTAGGGTCCGAAGAATATAAGGAAAGGAACTTAACTAATTATGACGACTCCCACAGCTACTACATCGGCAGCAATGGGCTCACACTGTTCAGTTCGTTCTGCTCTTCACCTTTCCCATCCTCCTCAATCGATCTGATGTGATGAGGAAATCATGGAAATGAGAGAGTCAAAAGCTTACCAGGGCCTCCCGGCACGTCGTTAGACTTTGCTCCCTCGGCCTTCCAGAACCTGCTCAGTCAAGCAGCCGGTGATGCGGGCACCCTGCCCTTCGCCGGCACCACCCGCACCATCGACAGCATTGTGCTTCTGAGCAACGGCATCTCCTTCTCCATCCAGATCGTGGTCTTCCTCGTCCTCGGCAGCTTTGCCGACTTTGGCAGCTGGAGGTCCGATATCCTGATAGTGCAGTCTCTGATTGCCTACGCCATCGGTTTCGCCTGGCTGGGTGTCCACGACGGGGACAAGTGGCACGTCGCTGTCGGGTTGTATATTGTAGGCCTGGTTGCTTACCAGACCACTTACACTTTCTGGAATGCTGCCTTCCCGGGACTCGCACGCAACACGCCCGAGATGAAGGCTAAAGCCGATGCGTATGTCGCCGGGACCGCCACTCAGGAAGAGTACGACTATGCCGACAGTCTGATGCGCAGCCGATTGGCCAACGTGGCACTCTGCATCCAGTCTCTCGCCGAAGTCGTAATTTTGGCCATCATCATCGGTATGATGTTCGGCTTGAAGGTCACCGAGAGCGATGCCAACAACAATTGGGGGCTCAGCGTCATCATCGCGTTTGGATCCGCGGTATGGCTCGTAGTTTCGCTGCCCTGGTTCTTCCTCGAGAAGCGTCGTCCGGGACAGGACCCTGGGAAACGATCCATCATCGTTGCGGGCTTGTGGCAGATTTGGCACGCAGTCAAGACCATCCGGAAGCTCAAGCAGAGTCTTATATATCTTATCGGTAATACATACCTACGAAACAAGCCCCAGCGGAACGATATATATTTATACCGTCGCATATAATTACAGAAACGTAGCTGATCAGAACTTCAGGCTACTTTTTCCTGGGAGACTCTCTCAACACTACCATCACTCTTATCTACACCTTACAGAACGCCAAGTTCGAATACGATGCCCTCTCACTGACATACTTGCTGCTTATTGGAATCGTCGGCCAGGTGAGCATGGACATTTTGCCTACACGTTCATTTGATAAAAGGAGAAGAGACTGACTTGAAACTCGACAGGGCCTCGGAACTTTTACGTTTTGGTGGTTTCAAAAGCGCTTCAAGCTCGAGAACAAGACCATGTTTGACGTTGTCGCCATCGCCATCGTCGTTCTTGATATATGGGGCATAATCGGCGTCTGGACTGACAGATTTGGATTCCACAACACCTGGGAGTTTTGGGTAAGGAGCGCTTTTTCTACATAACCAGATTTATATTTTTTTTTTGTCGTTTTATCGCACACTTACTTATGTGTACTGGAATAGTTATTCGAGGTATACTTCGGATTCTTAATCGGCCCATGGTACAGCTACTCGCAAGTCATGATTTCAGAAGTCACTCCCCGCGGCCACGAGTTTCTGTTCTTCAGCCTTTTCAGCATCGTCGGCAGGACGTCGTCCTTTATCGGCCCCTTGGTCTCCAGCGCCATCATCGATGCGATCCCATCCCATAACAGCTCGTCCCCATTTTACTTTTTATTACCACTGAGTGTTGTTAGCTGTGTGGGTTTATTGTTCTTTTTAAATATCGATAAGAGTCGCGTTGAACAGGAGAAGTTTCTGGAAGATAAAGCTAGACACTTGAGGGAGAAGCTACGCAGTAATTCCCTTCCGGAATCAACGTGAAAGGGATGTGGTTAATAATGAGATGGTATCCACGTACGTGGAAGAAGGAAAAAAAAGAGGAAGTTCGATCCGGTACGCCCGTCATATTGGGCTGTGGGACTTAGGCTTCTTCTCTAAGAGGGTAGACAGGTGGATAGACGCGTGTATGGCTCTTCGCCGTAACTGATCGTTTTAGATAGACTGTCACTTTGGTCTTTATGCGTTACAATTGCGCAATACACTTGGACTTATAGGCTGTAAGATCCAGTTCAAGACATCTGGGGCGAGTGTAATAGATGCTCGCCACATCAACAACCCAAAATTATCGAGTAGTGCTTGCAGTTGGCATGTAACATCATTAACTTACAGGTGACACGACTTCCCCATAGATATTCCATACTTACAGTATATTTGATGACTCTCCTTCGCGGAATTCGCTCTGTTTTACACATCATTCTAGATTTACGTTTTGAGCACAAAGCAATTGTTTCCTATCGAACCGTATTGCATCATGGGCAGTGATAACAACGTTCGTGTCCTGCCAGTCACAGAAGCCGATGACATAACTAGATGCTTCGAGATTGCCGCAGCGACCTTTGGAAAGCAGACGGCAGACGATATCTGGATCGCCTTCAACCCGGGTTGGGATACTCCCGAGGGGAAGATGAAGGGCATCTCGCGCATGAGGGACCAATGGTCTACGGCGACGGTGGATAGAGCAGGACAGCTCAATACAATCTTCCTCAAAGGGACGGTTCTAGACTCGGCCGGGAGTGAAGTTATGGCAGGCATGGCCCTTTGGCTTCAGATCTCGACAATCGTGGGGTACGGCGACGCCCCGAGATACAATCTCGCAGAAGCCATGGACTTGGATACCCTCTATCCGGGGGACCCATCGACCCACAGGTACCTATGTCAGATGGACAAGTCCCTAACGAAGCAACGAGTCAAATGCGTCGAGGAGGCTGCGTCGCTGTCTCCCCCAGCCGTTCTAGTGCTAGAACTCTGCGCTGTCGACCCGGCTTTTCAACGAAGAGGCGTGGCGTCCAAGCTAGTGCAATGGGGCGTCGACGAGGCGGCACGGCGAGGAGGCCTGGAAGCTGTGGTAGAAGCGTCCACAATGGGCAAGCCGCTGTACAGCCGTCTAGGATTCGAGCAGGACGGGCCCGAGATAGAGTACCACCTTGACGATGAGTTCAAAGACCGTGTACACCTTTCCAATGTCTTCATGCGGACTGGCCGGCCATAGACAAGGATGACATTGACAGATGACATTGACATAGGTGTTTGGTGGTGCTGTCCCATTCGGAATAATTCGCCAATTTAGGGAGCCTGCAGAACGTTGCACAACGTGAAATCTCGTGCCGCTGTAATACCAGAATACCTGGATGGTATCCTTACTTTACTACCGAGATCTGTGCTCTGCGGTTGGAGATGCATGGATGTCAGCTTCTGGGCGCCTGCAGTATCGGTAGATCATGAGTAAATTCAATCGCACAGTGCAATACGACCATGCACAATATATTTTTATACACAAGATGTACAAAGTACTGTTGCACTTCCCCATATGCGGCATGTGCACCTGCCAAGATGATGAGCCTTGGCAGACTAGACCCCTACTAGCTTGGCACTAGTTTGGCACTTGCTACGAAGTACATAGATAGCTTCAATCACCAAGTTTTTCTCTTTTCATCATCTTGCCGCTTGCGGGTAACATTATACCTCATACAAATCAATTCCCAACTCTTTCCGGAAGTCATCGTCCATGCTTCCGGCCCGACAATTGCATGCCGCCCGACCTTCACCACAACCGGTGAGTACAAGCCCAACCAACCAGCGCACGATGCTAGATGATGTTGGCGTACGCGTTGGAACTCCGGCATGTTGCCGTCGTGTTCCGTTCCGTAGAGTCCTCCTTTATTAGTTATTATTACTCGTCACTTTTACTTTTACTTTTACGCCATATACAAGGCGAGAAGACGGCTTATCTCATGCCCTAGACTGAATAGTTGAGTACCTAAAACAGGCTGGGCCCGTTCCGCGCCATAATCCCTAGTCTTAGGTATCTCAGCAAACAGCAAATTTAGACCTCAGCTCGTGGAGGCGAGTTAATAAATGCATCGGTTGTGTGACAATACCTTTTTGGGGTAAAAAAAGTATCATAAAAGCTATCCTGGATAATTGAGATCATCTCTGGTGAATGCCGACGTGGCGCAACTTGGCCCGAAGCCTCCCAATCCCCCCTTGCGACTAGGGCAATCGTCCGCCTGTTGTCACAGTCGATTGCGATCCTTGAATCATCCAACCGTAATCCAATATCCTTATCGTGCGGGATATGAAGACGGACTCCTTTGACATAAGCTTGTGAGCTCTTTCGATCTAGGGTATTGTCGGTAAAGGACGCGTCATCGTATTCAGCAGTTCCTCCGACGCGGAGCCATGGAACCTCGTTTTATAGAGGTATCGTAGGACTCGGTCAGTGGCAGTATGGTACTTCGGTCCCGGGTTTCGGTTGAAGCGTGCGAGTCTGGAGACGGCACAAGCCATGTCTACCTAGTTGATTAATCACCGCGACACTTGGGATGGAGCCTATCTTTCGAAGGTATATGTTGATCGAGCTTGCGCTAGCTATATCCTCGTATGAAGACAGCTCGTCTGACCAGTAAGCTGGCTAGTCTTATCAAGTTAATCACTATGGCAAAGCCAGATGTGTCGCTGAAGTCGGTCGCGGATAATCTAGACCCCCGGGAGCCACTGAAGGTCCCAGTGAACTCCTTCTATCACAGGAGAGGCGATTCCCGTAAGCCATATGGAGCCCGAACCAAATCGAAGGTAATTTGAGGACATTTCTGTAAACACATCATTGGGGACTTGAGCCTACACAAACACGCTGACCATGCCGTACTTGATGAAGTCAAGATCGAAGCGTGCCTCAGCATAAGGGTGCTCAATCCCAACATCATCAGCGATTACGTCTATCGCATCACTTTATGACCCCGAGTTGCTCGGATTTACCGCCTGCGCGTCCTCATCTTCGGCAGGGATATCTACTGAATTCTGGTTTGAATCGGTGCTCTTCAGAAGTTGAGCTAGAGGCTCTAGGAATGCTCGCCGCCTCGATCTTTCGAAGGATGGCATCGTAGCCCGTTTATTTATATAGTAGTGTTGAAATAGGGGGCCGAACAACAGGTGAATACCCTCCTGAGAATCGAAAGGGTACAAGAATCCCCACATATAGTCCAGACCGACCGGTAATCAACCTCGACCAAGCTGCTCTCAAGATGACCGATAGGCTGTAGTCTCGGCTTGGCGTACGATTAAAGGGTGAAGTTGCGCGGTTTCGCCGACTACTCGGAGACTGCTAAAAATGAAGCCATTCCCAGATCCAACTATCAATCACTATATATGGTAACTGGAGCTCGGACTTACAAATCCCTGTTGTACCCCTGGAGATCTCTGAAATCTACCCTCGAGTCAGTTTGATGTTATATCTGATTCTCAAACCCCTCTGTTCGTAAGAATTTTCGACGATTGCAGTAAGCAATGATCCAAGTCGCCCACTACTATTTGAATCCGTTTCGGGGCGGCTTGTCTAACCATCTTGGAAACGCTTACTCTGAGATGTGTTTCCCAGGGCCTCCTTGGTTGTCTGCATCTTTTCGGAACGTCGATCATTGTCTTTTGGGGGGAATCGGTCTTGGGTTGTTCTATGACTTACTCGAGACGAACTTTGAACGAATTGCATTGTCTCTTCTGACAACTATATGCACAACCGCTTCAATCCACGATGTAGGAAATGCATTATCACGGTCATCAGGGGCAGCAGGAAGAAACCAGTCAACAGCTACCCTGCGGGATAGATATAGTGACCTATTGTTTATAAAATAGGTAACGTGTTCCCCCTTATTCTGAGGAGGAGCAGGTATTAGGAGATCATCGATGCCTACCCTACCTACAGTCTACCCTGAAGCGTACTAGATGCCTCACGTTTTTCACTCTGGACCCAGTCATTCTCACATGTATGACCGCTCTACTTGTGCTCGAGTGATATCTGCTTATCTGAGAGGTTTCAGATGCCCAGTTCCACCATAGGCGGCCGACGATCGAGCGTGAGCCACATATCCTTGAAATAACTAATTCCGCCTTTATATACGTGTCGGGAGGGTTCATTCTCGTTCAGTGCGCGGGGCTTGAATGTGCGGAGAAACTGCAGAGGAGCCTTGTAGAGCTCCATATAGGCTATGTCGCGGCCCAGGCACACGCGAGGACCATATCCAAACGTCTGGCTGAACTTGTTGAAGTCCTTGGCCCTCTCGGAATCGAGCCAACGCTCCGGGCGGAACACCTCAGCATCCAAGCCGTAGACGTTCGTGTCGCGGTGCACAATCCAGGGGTTGCACGTTACCTCGCAGCCTTCAGGGACATACTTGCCGAAGAGTTGTAGCCCGCCCTTGGGTACGAGACGCGGCATGATGTCTGGGGCCTGCGGCATGCTGTTAGCATATGTGCCCGTAGTTTGGGATGATCAGGGGTATCTTGCTGGTGGGTTTATCCGCATTGTCTCTTTCACGCAGGCGACATAGTACGGGCAGTGCTCTAAAACTTCTTCATACATAGGCATCTGGGATAACTTCTTTGCTCGAGTTACTGCGTCAATCTCTGCCATGACCTTGTCGTACACGTCGCTATTGCGGATCAAATTCGTTAGGAGCGCCTGGAAAAGCGTCCCAATCGTGTCCGAACCTGCGAGAAGGACGAGCAGAACTTCCGCCTTGATATAATCGATGCCTAATTCCTTGCCATTTTCATCGCGAGCCTCGATAAACCTAGCATATACGTATAAGACAAGACTTAGACAGGACAGGACAGGACAGAGATTTTGCCACTCACGTTTGGAGAAGTTCAATGCGACTTTTTGTGTTGCCCGCTTTGATGTCATCATATCGTTTCTGAACCAGACGATCGCGAAGTCTCATCAGGACTCCAGCGCCCGATTCGTGTTCGGGGCTTGCGACTAGGTATCTGCCCATTGGTGTTTTTTTGATCCACTTGGTCAATGGATAGAGACGGGCCATCACTCCAAACGGTACCAGACAGTCGTGGAAACCTTGGATAAGACCATCGACATCTTTTTCTTGCTCAATAAAGCCGATTGGCTCCCCGAAGCCGATCTCAGATATAATGTCGTAGGCCATATACACAGCCCAAGGAGCAAAGTCGAACTTTTCGCCCGTGGCAGCAAATCGATGATCCAGCTTCTCGAGCCACTTTCTCACGATTGCGTCAACAAGTGGCTCCATTTTCTTGACATTCGAGTAAGCATAGGGTGCAGCGGCGATCTTTCTAAGCCTGGCATGAGCTGCGTGGTCATATATGTTGAATATGGACTCGGTCTCCCCAAAGCTTCCGGTAATATAATGCTGTGATTTTTCTGCATAGCGGCTGTAAATTTCCGGCAACTTTGTAGCGTCGCTCACAATAAGCATCGTCGGAGTGATGCGTATGACGGGTCCTGATAGCAAGAAATGTGAGCTTTTAATGTTATCGTGGTAGACACGCCTTTTAAAATGCGTTGAAAGCCCGTACCATGCTTCTTATGCAACGACTCGAACACTTGGAGCTCTGTTGCCTTAACATGGTGATATGTGAGCCATAGTCTGGTGACACTGCCCCAGAATGGACCTGGGAAGGAAGACAGAGGGTGGAGGAAGCGGTAGTATATGATTTGATACAAAATCACGAGCGAGATGTATAAGATACCAAGAGCGACGATGGTGCTAAGCATAATAATCATATTAATATGAAGAATACCACGATGCAGCAGTAGATTCACAAGTCAAATTAATATCATTTCAGGCGCCAAAAAGGGGATGTAGTTTTCTACACATACAGGGAGAGCAGAAGATTTTATTCTTTGCAGCATGCCAGTACGAACGGTATAACTGCCAGCCCTAGGACTCGTCTAGCCTTCTGCATAGGTACTCCATAGATTAAACGTCGGTAAGTTTCTCGAGACTCATTCAAGATCAGGGATTTGACGATGCCTAAGCCGAGGCCAGTACATACATGCTGCATTCACCGTCGTATTTGTGTGCCGTCAAATTGCGAATACCTATCACAGGTGCGCCCGAGCAGATGACCTGTCGATCAAAAGCAATATCACTGCCTACCTACACAGTCTACTTCTTACGCTTTATTCACGGTATAGGTACAGGTCGTGTAACGAACTTATTGTGACTCCAGGCCCCAACTGCCACCAGCTGACGAACACATACATTTCCAATACCTATCATATAATATTGCATCGTCCATCCAAGTCTTCCTCTAGTCGCAATAGTGCATACTCATGACCTTCAAATCTCTAGCCATGGATGACTCTCTCTTAATTATAAAGTTCCTACGTCTCCAAATTATCCAGCCCTTAAATACCTATGCTTGCCTTGATTTGCCTTAGAGCTTCACCTAGGTCCTGTTTAGTGATACGATAGAGCTTAGAATGGTATTAGACTAACAAGAAGCCTTACTAGGTTTAAGACCTTCGCCGACCCCATTTGGTTTCTTTTATCATTATCATCTTTCCTGTGAACTTTTCCTCTCCGTTTGCTGTTATGGAGCCTTCTCTTGTGCATATATCGCAATCAATTCGTTATAAAGTTCGCCTTCGTCTTAGCGATTGTCGGCTGAGGCGTAGCCTCAAGCATCTGATCCTATTTTCAAGTCGTCAGTAGACTTAGTATGTGGATCTACATCGAGAGACAACAATAGGTACTTCCTAGGGCCCTTTGAGTATGGGTCGGAGATCGATCCAGGATCTGAGTTCGATTTTAATTCCGATTCAGATATTAACTCTTGCAGAGTGGCAGAGTGGCAGTGATGGACGTCGGGGCCGCCAATGTATAATCCCGCAGCGGCACCGCCAGAGACATTATCGGCCGCCTTGAGCTCGGCCTTCCGCAGACATTCGCTCCTTCGAACTGGCGCAAGAGAGGCCCGAGGGAGTAAGACAGTGATGCCTAGTCCATGTGAGGACCGCCGAGCCTCGGATAGTAATGCCTGCGAATTTCGTTGCTGAGAGGTGATTGCTCTCAGGCCGGGTCACATCGCCTTCTCGAGCATTCTCCTGTGTAGGAGACTTGTTCTGGTCCGTCAACTCATCCAAAGCAAGTGGCTGCAACACCAGCAACGACAGGCCTGTGCAAACGCCAGCGCGCACAAACGCCGACGGAGGCGCGTATACTTGCACGTACTATGGTTGTACTCCACGGTTCAAGACGCCCAAACTTCTTCATAAACATAAACGCGAAGGACTTCTTGTCCTTGGGTTGCCTCATGTTTATGGTGGTGGCTACCTACGATGCGGTGTAAAGTGACACAAACTTGTAAACATTCATTATTATAATACATGTAAATACCCAGATAACTGGTATAAAGGGTAAATGGTTTTAACAGTATTGCTTGTTATTGTAGGATTTTACTTCTAAACCTTCATGGCGAAATTAAGTAGGCATAAACACACCTCCTAGCGGCGCCTTGCTTATACCTAAGTCGTTACCTAAAGACTCACCTTCCACTAATACCTACCTAGGTATACCCAAGTTTAGACCCGAAAAAAGCGATACTTAGAAACAGCACCAAGACACCGTTGTCTGGTTATTGGCAGATAGTTCTTTCGGACGCAGATTGATAGCCAATTCTACTGGCCCAAAATGCTGAAAGCGAATATCAAAACTTGGATATGTTTAACCAAGCAAGTTCCCTCGACTATGTGTCATCTTTAGCTAAATCTCGGACCGTAGGCGGTTTGGTATCGCTTTGTGTTTACCTAAGGCCTAGCTTCGTCTTTAGCTTTCCTGATATTGAAGTAGATGGCTGATAGGAACTCTAAGGTTCGTCATTGTTCCAGTAATATTCCACGAATTTGACATGTACCTGGCGTCCGTTGTGTAAATAGGCGCGATAACCCTTAAGCAACTAAGATGCTGATAGTATATATCCTATCCATTGATTTGGTAGGTCGTCCAAGAACCAGCCCTGGATAAAAATAGATTCATAACTCGAAGGGATCATTCTTTCGTTATTCGTGCCATCGCTGCTTGGCTCCGGCATTGGATATGATATCATCGGCAACAATCCAACCCCTATTAGTAGAGGCAGACTTGGTGTAGCGCCCTTAACGCCAGCCTCATACCCTGATCCGAAAAGGATATCCGCGAAATGCTCGAGTATGAAACTTGCGCCTACTGAACGAATAGGAGGACGTATTTTGGCAAGGAAGGGGGAGACCGTAATGCCACCAAGGGCAAGCCGAGTCGACTAAGCTGGGGATTCTCATCATCTTCTCTACTTGCTTTGCGCTAATGACCAATACAAGACGGATACAGGTGTCTGCAGTGACGGCTGCGTAGGTATTACCGGATAACCGGTCTGCTATACATTGTCATACCAACGTGTCCCGTCTAGATATACAGCTGTACCTAATTGTTGTCTTTTTGAGCCACAACTAAATCCATCCTCTCTACGAAGAGTGCTACATGACTATTGTGGTCGCCGTTTGGGCAGAATCAACGTCAAGCTTATTATTCTTGCCCCTCAGAGAGCCTCATATCGTAACGAGGTGGAATCAAACAGTATGGAAATAATTTCGTTGTTTCGCGGGGAATTCTAACCTATCTAACGAGCCTACGGCCCGTATAGACAAACATATCCTTTGTTCTAGATGTCTCATCTAGAATCCTGACACATACGTTACCTAAGCTATCTTATTATTATTCGCCTCTCTCTTTTCAACGTTGGTCGTTTTATGATATAGGATTTCTTGCGCATCTATGTTCGCCATCTAAGGCTATCTCTAAGGTTATCGGAGCTATACTTACATTCGTTTGGAGTAGTTAGCATAAACAATGTAGGCAACGAGACAAGCAGAATGGGGCCTTGTGAATTTTTGGATACACTCTATTGCACTATGTACTCAATGACTGCTGGTGTGGTATTCAATTAGAGTGATGCTATTTCTAGATTACCTTGCCGGGCCTACAATGTAGATTACCCCATAAAACAGGTGTACGCACTTGGCCACAAAAATTACTGTAAATTGACACCCTTCAATTCTACCTTATTACCTTTACAAAACGTTGATGTTTTTCAATGAAGACAATAGATATTGACAAATCTTTAATATATTTAACTTATTTACAATTCAACTAATTGACTAATACGAAATTTGAAAGAATGCGACCGTGTTCCATAGTGCAATTGAAAAAGTAATCTTCGAATAAGAGGTACTAATCTATAAATAAGGCTATATTAATCTGCGAATAGTGGCATGTAATCTACAGATAAGGCTAACTAATCTCATATTCCTCCAACACAACAGCATGTTTAACAATGGTTACTTATATCAATAGAATCAGCTCAACAAGGCGAATCTAATTATACTTCAATCATATAGTAATACCGTGTTTTGGGTAAGATATTGGAGAGTGACAAGAGATAGGTAGTCAGCCTGGCGGGCCTGCCAGGCCTGGTCAGGTGACCTCAGAAACATCCCCACGATCTCCCAGTCTTATACATCAATTAAAATCAATTAAATTTCCTAAATCTATTAAGTCTATCATACCATTAGACCATTAGATTATTCGACCATTTAAATCGTTAATAACCTCTTTTTCGCATGTATTGGCCGTGTTTTGAGAATGTTACGAAACAGAATGGGGCCATGTCATTTTACTAATAATTTTGGTGGTCGGGTGCATACACTTGTTCTGTGGGGTAATCTACGTTGTAGGCCCGGCAAGGTAATCTAGAAATAGCATCACTCTTCAATTAAACTCGTAGCTTGTGGCAACACTTTGGGAAACGTTTCCTAAACATTTACTATGTTCCTTACCATGGTACACATAACTTGAGTTGATATATTGACATTTTATAAATCTTTTACAAGTAAGACACTTCGTCGTAGTTTGCACTGTTTGAGTAGAAGAGTATACCCTATATTAAGTGAGATTTGCCAATTAATTGCCAATTCTGTAATAACTGACTGGTCACCAGTGCTAAGGGATAAGACATAAAATTGGGCTAATTTGTGTCCCAACTACGTCATGCGTAACTGACTAGGTTAGTCAGCTAGTTAAGACCTTGCCCGTGATGGTACGGGAGTTAAAGAATAGCCGTGATTGAGCGGTCCTAATTTTATCTTATATAAGAGACGTATGAGCCTCGGCTAAGCGTTTATCAGATCAAGCCGGAAATATTCGGTTTAACAATAGATTTTAGGATATAAGAATAATCTATCCGTTTCTAGAGCGGGATCTTGTCGGAGACAGTCGGTAATTTCCCCATTTGCGCATATGTATACGCTCTAAATGCCAGGTACATATCTCCGAATAATGACCAAATAAAGACTACCTAATTACTATTTCTTACCTTTGATAATAATTACAACTGGAATTTCACCTATACCCTCTTGACCTTCTCGAATTTTAATCAACCTACGTAGTATACTGCCGGCCTATGATGCATAAAGACCTTTCAAAAGAGTCGTTTATGAGGAGGACCTGTTAAGAATGCGCCGCCATTCGCTTCGCACCCCTCCTGTGCGACGTTTCTCTGCCCAGACCATCGTAAAACTCCAGCCAGGACGCCACATATGCACTCGATGCTTGACAACGAGGGCGGGTGAAAGCCGACAAGGGACGATCAGCTCTTCTGCAGCCAGTCCCAGGCCATCATCCGCCATCTTGACATGGCCCACTTTCTCGCCGATCGCATCCAGACGTTTTGCGACCGTTGCGACACCCTCTTTAGAGAATGGTTAGAACACCAATTCAGTCTTCACTTGCTTCCATTTCTAAATATTTGATATAGCTCACGTACCCGATAATCATGGCCCGATTCAAGAATACGATCGGCGAGTGCGGGAAGGGCGCATCCGAGAGGACCAGCACCAACGCGGGATTATCCAGAATTTGCAAAATTTGCACGACGAACTGGTTCATTACCGAGCGCAACCCGTTGTGCGTCTGAACCTCGGAACTTTAAAACCGACCAAATCATTATTTTCGTGGTTCGGACCGAAGCCGGCCTCTAGAGCCATACGAGAGATTCCAGCCAATCTGCCGCGAGGATTATATTTGTACGGCGATGTCGGGAGTGGGAAGACGATGCTGATGGACCTCTTCTACGACACATTACCGAGTTCCGTCCAATCTAAGACCAGAATACATTTCCATAACTTCATGCAGGATGTACACAAGAGGTTACATAAGATGAAGATGACGCACGGAAACGATATAGACGCAGTCCCGTTTGTAGCAGCCGATATCGCAAAGAAGGCGAATGTTCTGTGTTTCGACGAGTTTCAGTGTACCGACGTAGCTGATGCGATGATCCTACGAAGGCTTCTAGAGTCGCTAATGTCCCACGGAGTTGTTCTCGTGACGACGTCGAACCGACACCCGGATGAGCTGTATAAAAACGGAATTCAGCGCGAATCCTTTATTCCGGCGATCCACCTTCTAAAGTCGCGGCTGCATGTCATCAATCTCGACTCTCCTACTGATTACCGCAAAATCCCGCGGCCGCCGTCCGGGGTCTACCATACGCCGCTCGACAATCAGGCAGCGTTGCACATAGAGAAGTGGCTCCGGTTTCTCGGCGATTCCGATGCGCCAGAACCTCACCCAGAAACCCAAAAGGTCTGGGGCCGCGAAATCCACGTTCCAAGAGTCAGCGGTCGCTGCGCTTGGTTCACTTTCCAAGAACTAATCGGCCGTGCGACGGGCGCGGCTGACTACCTCGAGCTGATGCGCTGCTACGATGCGTTTATCATATCCGACGTGCCCGGCATGACATTCCGGGAGCGCGATCTGGCGAGACGTTTTATTACATTTATTGACGCTGTCTACGAATCCCGCGCTAAGCTCGTTCTTACTACAGCTGTTCCCCTAACGGAATTGTTCATCTCACCCCAAGAATTACGGGAGTCCCTGAAAAGGGATGGAAAGCCCGTAGACGATGATGATGACGAATCGACTAGCCACGCCATGCAGCACATGCTCGAGGACGTGAACAGTAATATTGACCAGTTGAAAAACTCGAGTCTGTTCTCCGGCGATGAAGAGCGCTTTGCGTTTGCGCGAGCGCTATCGAGACTGAGCGAAATGTCTAGCAAGGAGTGGGTTGAACGCGGTATGGGTCTAGAAAGTTCGGGGGGCAAACAGGAGAGGGACGGTTGGGCAAAGACCCGTAGTCGACAGATGGAGGATAGTATGTGACCTATGCGATACGGATTAGATAGAGCCCGCCCTACTACACACTAGCATGGTTTGGCGTTTATTGTTAGCTCGACGGTTTATTACGGGACGCATACATACATAAAACGGCGGCGAGTGGGCTACAGTTTTGTGGCTAGAGGGCTTGATACCTCCTTACATCGTAGATTTTGCGCTAAAGATATACGAGATCATGAAATCCGCCTGGCTGTGCTTTTATTAGCCTATCCAAGTTTGCGTGATATGATAAGTTTTCTTTTATGCTTCGGGCGTACGGTAGTGCAGTGTGTTATTGCGTTAAACAGCGAATTGAAGATAATGATTGAACTGATTGGTGATGCTCGAGGTTAGTGCATATATGCATATACGAGATATCTATTTAGGAGTCGTATCCCCTCAACTGGCATAAAACAGCAAACCCACTATTTTCAGTATTGATACATCGAGATTGGCTAAAGAAGATAGACTGGTTCTATATTATTAGATTGGCCAATCATATTTATTATAGAAGTATATTGCAAGGGTTTTTCCTTTTGTCTTAATGAATCGCGTTAAACTTTATGTACTCTACCGAATATCAGGTTTTTGCTGTTGTATGCCAGTTAAGGGGATAATGTAAAGATATACGATATTTGTGCGATTATTCTTTACGTTTTAATAATGGAAGTCGATAACATCCGAGGTATCATTGATGCGTGTTTGCCCTCGTTACACAACATTTGCTGGGACCCTACGCCGGAAAACTGCCTGATAATGCCGACTTACTATGTACATATGTAACTACAGATGTACATTCACGCACGCGACGCGCCGACGTTGGGACGTCCAATTTCGTGGTTCAGTGCGCCGCGAACTTACATCCAGCGGGCATGGACCCGGCATAGGCGGGCAAATTCCCGCTGGGAGCTTGACCGAAGGCCCGTGACAACCATGGGCGAACGTTGAGACTAACTAGGGTCCAGGGAGACGATTTGGTTTAAGGGATGGCCTAGACTCGAGCAGATTTTGGTGTTATTTTTACATTCAATGCATACCCCCAAGACAGTTAGCTAAACAGTTAGCTATATAGTACTACTTGTAGATAGTTTCTATCTAGGTAGTTATATAGATACCTAATTGAAGTTGTGGTAGTTAATTTGTATGAAGAACCTGAGAAACTTCTTCGCTACGATAGAGGTACTTATTATATGTTACAACTTATATGTATAGATGCGGTGAGCTACCATATTGCTATGTAGATCAGGGGCTGCTAGCACATGTTCATCCATATTCATGGGTGTATCCCTTATGTGGTATGTAGGTATGGTTGTATGCATCTCGGCTGGTAGAGAATCTTACTGGGGAGTTCCAATCTCAAGCGGCAATTTCTAGCGTAGGATTCTAACCGATGCAAATTTCGATTGGAACAGGCTGAGAAGCCACCCCTGTTCCATCCTTTAAAAGAAATATGCAAGTATCGTAAAGCTCTCTATTCATGACTTGCATGCGATTATCATCATGATAGGTCAGAAAGGCGTCAAAAAAGCTAGTGCACCTCTACTAACAATTATCCTGGTATTAGGTGCGTCACCTTTTTTGACGTCCTTTTGTAGGTATCGTTGTTGGTCATTAGGAAGTGCTTATAAAGTTCCGCGCCACCGCTAGTCTAAGACATTATAGCTACCTATCTAGCTATCTATCATAGAATATCTGGTTTGAAGACAATGTTTCTTCAGCCCTAATGGCCCCTTTTCACGATATAAGTGTGGGGGTGGCTTCTTTTAGCTGCAGAGCCTCATCGGGAAAGGCGCTGTAAGACGGCACCTACATGAGGTAATAACTATAAATTCATCCAAATGTTTAAAGCTTAATAATACAGATAGTAATCTGGAAAGCTGTTATGTATAAAGCAGATAGCCTATAAATAATGGTTAAGGTGGGTGGGATGCGAAAGGAGATGAGATAAATAGGAAAAGTCATGTGCAACCTCGCAGACAGTTACTGGGTGGGCATGTGGTTGGCTATTTGAACCAATCATGTCTTGGAATATACTCTACTCCCATGTTATGTTATAGGAAATCTAGATGCCCCCAACTACACTACGGAATAGTGTACCCGCCGGGGGTATTACACTAGTGTAGAAGACGGATGAGTTAATCTAGTTTCCTAGAATGGACCTTCCCATGTCGGTGCTAGTGGGGTGCAATCATTTGCGAAGATCATTTGCAAAGACGGTTTGTTCCTTCCCACCAAAGCAGAGAAGTTTGTTGCTAGGTCGTTCCTTACCCACTTACTTGTACAACTGCCACACCAAAAAGGGGAGAATTCCGTCATTCTTCTTAGTGGAGTCCAGTTTTTAATCCAGGCATTTCATATCACCTCCACTCTCTCAAGTTTGTCTTGGCCTTTCTAGGGCTGCCTTCCTTTTCCTCTCCTTTTCCTTCTGTTGGCGTTTCCTACGATACATAATCCTTATTTTTCTTTAGTCTATCGTGGGACTATACGTAATGCTGAAAGAACAACAAGGCGTGCGATTTACTTGTGGGCTCAACGCGAAGGATAACGTGCGCGACACAATCGTTTTCGGTCTCATTTTTCACGATTAGGATGGGCGCGATAAAAAATACCCTTTCCTTAATTCCCTCTTTTCGGTTATCTGGGTCCAAAACAGTCTACGACGTGCTACCTTCGCACGATTCAAGTCATGCTAGTTCGCCCTTAGACGGATCACCCATCATGTCGGATACTAGGCGCAAAGGGTTCTCAGCACCCCGTCGGCGACTAGGTGGTTTACTTCGCACGTCACCAAAGAAGTTGTTCTTTTTTACAATCGGTATTTTCTTCACATTCGTTCTACTTGCCGGGGGAAGTTTTCGAGCCAGGCGCTATTATGTCGAGAAGACTACGACAGAAGAGAGAATCCCCTATCACTGGGAGAAATATCCCAGGTAAGAAAGTCATGCAATCTATGTCTCGAAAATATCTCAAAGGAGATAATAATGGTTTTAACGCATACTTTCCAGGTTAAGTGGTTTTTACAATGGCGTGCGAACACTTGTGAACTACACGGACTGGATTCCGGAACAGCAAGTCACAGAAAAAACTAAACCTCTAATTCACAAGACCATTCCTATGGACCCGGTTGTTGTTAACCCGTATCCCGACTTCAGCTCCAGCGAGTATCTCAAAGACCACCAGCCTGTGCAAAGATGTTATGTGGATGACAATGAAAAGTTCCCGGCGCCTGAGATCTTTGCGTATCCTGGCATACCTGCTGGAATGCCTGCCCCGTTCTGGGGATCGTACGAGAGTATCGGCGTTGCGCCAGATAGGTGCTGGGAACGATTTGGTCGTTTTGGTCCTTACGGTTATAGCTACAATCCCGCCGAGGGGGGGTTGGGACTTTCAAATAATTCGGCGCACGCAGGTGCTGAGAAGATCCAGGAGATGTTCACCAAGGTTGACTATCGCAATGTGAATTGGGGCAAAGCGCAGAAAAAGTGCTTTGAGAAAAACCAGAAACGATTTGATCCCGAAGCAGCACGTAGCGACGGCTCCACTGAAAACAAGAAAGTTGTTAAGCGTTCTGCATATGTACTACGAACCTGGACTGGATACCAGTATACCGATATCCAACTCTTATCTCTACGAGCTATGATTAACGAGTTGTCCCTAAAATCCGGCGGCGAATATGACGTGCATCTCCTCGTTCATGTCAAAGACAACTCGATACCCATCTGGGCGTCTAATGAGGTTTATAATCAGACAATAAGGGATAATGTACCTGAGGAATTCTGGGGCATTACAACATTGTGGTCGGAGCAGCAGATGCGAACATACTACCCCGGCCCGTTCCCTGAAGAAGATAACGTCGAGAATCATTCCAAGTCCGATATCCACGGTGTTTATCGAAGTGCTCACTTTGCCTTGCAGTGGTTTTCGCAGCAGCACCAGGAATACGATTTCTTTTGGAACTGGGAAATGGATCTAAGATATACCGGTCACTACTACGAGTTCCACAATGGTATTTCGAAGTGGGCAGCGGAGCAGCCTCGAAAACTACTTTGGGAGAGAAGTTCTCGATTCTGGATACCTGGCATACACGGTTCATGGTCCAAGTTTTCTGAGCTAGTAGAACGAGAGACGTCAGAGAGGAAAGAGAAGCCAGTTTGGGGTCCGGTAACATTTCCCACTTCCGAACATGGTATGCTCCCATCTCCTAAGGAGAACACCCCACCGACGAAGATCGAAGATGATGATTATCAATGGGGCGTAGGTGAGGATGCGGACCTAATTGTCTTTGACCCATTATTTGATCCGGCAAAGACAAACTGGGTCTTCCGCAAGGACGTGTCGGGTTATAACACGTCCCTTGAGATACCGCCTCGCCGAGTAGCAATCATTACAGTTGCGCGACTTTCGAGAGGGTTATTAAATAAGATGCATGAGGAAACGTTCCGTTTGCACCACACTATGTTCCCAGAGATGTGGCCTCCTACGGTTGCTCTTCACCATGGATACAAAGCTGTTTACGCTCCGCACCCTGTTTACTTTGACAGACAATGGCCGCTGGATGTCATGGACAAAACTTTTAACTATCCTCCAACACCGGAAGATAGCCCGTTTGGTTGGGGCGAGCACAACATGCAAGGTGGTAGTTTCTACTACAATGCTGGCTTCAGCGGTGCATTGTGGCGACGATGGTTTGGAGCCAAGGAGAATGGTGAGGGCGGAAAGAAGATGGAGGAATCCCGATCGGATCGTATGTGTCTAAGAGGAACGCTCTACCATCCGATAAAATCTGAGAGCATCGAATGAGCACGTTTGTAGTTCCGGTTATCTAATTTTTGTGTATTGGCGTTCAGGAAAAGCCGAGTATAGGGCTTCTGATTTCACGAGAGCATTGAGGCATTTTCAAGGGGGTGGTTTGTTTTCATCCATGGCATCATACAGCATCCGAGACTCCGGTCCTCTCTCCGCATATGGTTTATGAGGTTCTAATACCCGTTGATTTGTGGACGAACCCCCGTCTCTATTTTGTTACCTTATTCATGAGAACAGGTTCAAGCAGGCACCAGGATCGTCAAGATTGAATGCCGTGCAGTGCAGAGTGGGGGGGGGGCATATGAAGCTTGTACGAGAAAGCAAGTTGACAAGCCAACTAAGGGGCTGTCCACTCCTAATTGTATAATAGTAGCTCTTGCGACCAATGTTTAATACCCAAGACAACAATGCTGCAATGTTGCAATAGTTCTCATTCTGAGCTCTTCAATCCTGTTTTAGTGATGTATTTCAA